GCAATGGCACGAGGATTGTGTGCCAATTATGCAGTGTAAACAGGTGGTAATGTCAATGGATAATATTAACTTCATCCAGTAGTATCAATGTCAACATCAATGCTCCAGTCTCCGCCCTCTCTACCTTGCAGAGCTGAAGTAGGCAACAGCACAAAGGTTATTTTCGAGGCTGTACTATTTAAAAGGATCAGCATGTTCGTTGCTCAACAACTTTCTCTGGCTATTAGTGAATTATAATGGGTTTGGAAGTTTGCACTGTAATTTAAAATTAAAGTCTACAGTGAGGGTCTGCCATGTGGCGATCCTTGATTCTCACATTAAGGATTTCGCTCACAGCCTTGCATTCCTTAATGTCCTCGTGGTTGTTCTGCAGCATCAAAATTAGCTTGAGAAGAGGAGTAGGGCCCACAGCAGAAGCTGTAACCACTTCCATCCCCGCTCAGTGTCTCCAGGGACCATTCCTCCTACTGCATCCTCAACAATTAATAGGCCATTTTGCCAATCATGCACTGCCTGGTCAAAAAGAAGACTGTTTAAGTTGCCTTCTTCTCCTCCTTCAGCTGCTCTCTACAGCTCTGGTGGCAAGGATTGTGCTCTCATGAGATGACAATGCAGACTTCAATGAGCAACCTATATAGCATAAGAGATGTGGACTTAAAACAAAAGGAAATTATTGTGCTCTTCAACAGATAGCCAAATATCACATGATCTGCATTCAAATGCTTCAAAGACCTCATTCATCCATATCTCTGAAACTTCTTCCAGCTCTATAACCTGATAATGGTGTGTGTCAAAAATTCTATGGTACTATTGCAAAGAAGAGCAGTGAAGTTAGTTCCAATGTCGCTTTAACATTAATCCCTCAAGCAACATTACAAGAACAGATTGTCTGGCCATCATCATTTTGCTGTTTATGGGGTTTTGCCATATAAAAAAAAATGCCCACTGCATTTCGTCGACTACAATTTAAAAGTATCTCATGAGCTGAAAGGTGCTTTGAGATGTCCTGTAATGCTGGCCTCAATGGCATCCATACTTCCTTCGACAAAGTTTTTTTTTTCCCCAGGGTAGGGGAGTCCAAAACTAGAGGGCATAGCTTTAAGGTGAGAGGGGAAAGATTTAAAAGAGACCCGAGGGGCAACTTTTTCACACAGTGTGTGATACGCATATGGAACGAGCTGCCCTAAGTAGTGGTGGAAGCCAGTGCCATTACAATATTTAAGAGACATTTGGACAGGTACATGGATAGGAAAGGCTCAGATGGATATGGGCCAAACTCAGGTAAATGGGACTGGTTCAGTTTAGGAAATCTGGTCGGCATGGATCAGTTGGGCCGAAGGGCCTGTTTCGACGCTCTGTGACTCTATAACTCACAATGGCATTCAGCTGTCCAGGCAATAAGCTTTAAAATTCCCCATATATTACTCTCTGCTTCTCTCCTCTTTTAAGATGCTCCTCAAAATGTAACTCTTTGATCTTTCCTCATTTCTCCAGCTTTAGATTCATATCAAATCATGTCTGATCTTGCTGTGAAGCACCTTGGGCATTTTACCAGTTTAAAAGGTGCTGTATAAATGCAGGATGCTGTTGATAATCTTCGAGAATTGTGGCCTGCAATTTGCTCCATCCTCACAAGCCCTGCAACTTTGCACATCTGTTTCTGAACAACGCTTCACTTTCTCCCTGTGATTCATCAACCTGCTTTATTTATTGCAGCTTAGTCATTGCCTTTATTATGGTCAGTGACTTTTAAGGAACTGTTACATACACCATTCACAACTGCAAAAACAAATTCTACCTTCAACTATAGCTTCATACTAAAGTATTAATCTTGCCTCATAATCATAATGTGATAAACTCCTGAAAGGCTTCGATCACCTTTGCAGGGAAGAGTAAAGCCTTTCCCTGAGTGAGTGTGTTTGTCGGTCAATGACAAAAACAACAAGCTCCTTTAGAATTGTCAGGACGATCAGCTGAAACCTAAGGGACACATGGGTGACTGATTGGTGAGTGTGCACTCTGTGTGAAGATCCAAGCATGATATATTTAGATTTTGAGGACACCAGAACAGTGGAGAGATTAGTTGGTCTTGAATTATTTATTAACCATCATTACTTATTGAAAACTTTCTTTTTATTTCTCAGTCAATAGCTACTCTGTAAATAGGCTACATATGTCTCTGGGCTTGGTTTTGAAGACAGGATTAGGGCTGCTAGTTACTTAAACACACAAAATAATCCAAGGCACTTGGGAAATAGGCAATACTTTTAGCTCCTGTGCTGACCATATGAAGAGAGCAAAGAGAAACAGAATTAATTACTGATTAAGAACTTTCTTATTGTAACTGACAATAGGACCACAATAATAGATATTATTTTATTAAGAAGGCTGCACATGTATAGGAAGATCCCAGAGTACAATGGGGAATTTTAAAAGTGGGCCAGTAAATTGAACAGGCAGTAAAACCACAACAGAGTTTAAATAATTAAACAAGAGTTAGTAGAGCGGCATATAGCTGTTTGCTGCAGCTTGTCATTATTGTCAGTGCTGCAAAAAGTGGGACTGCTGCAGGAACTTTTAGTACATATAAAAGCCGAGGGAAATACAAATTCTGGTGCTTTTAAACGTAAATGAGCAATGTCACTCAGAGATCAAAGGAATGCATATTGTGGAAAATGGAATTCTCAGTAGTACAGAAACATTTACTCTTCTGAGACTAGTTAAGGTAGTACAGTACTCAGTTGGTAGCCTGCTTCCATTCTATTTTACATCTGACTTGTGGACATTCGAAAAGGCTGACTGTTAATCACAGGATAAGGCTTCTGTTGACATTCTTCCCATTGATTAGACTGAGGTTTCACCTCCCAAAGAAGTCTAAAACCTGCCAATGTTTTCTTTCTCAGAGATCCTGTCAGTGTTCTATTAAAAGTTACACTGACATACTTACTCAGACGATGTACAGAAATCAGCATTCTATCCCAGGGAGAACAAAAACTGAAAGTCTCCAAATTCATTTTTCATTTGGAAGTTTAGAAAATAATTAGAAATAAAATGCCAATTTTTCAGAAGGCCACACACTAATAAAGAATAAACAAAGAAATGTGCATTTATACAGTGCACATCATGACCCTTGGATGTCCAAATTGCTTCACGGCCAATGAAATACTTCCGAAGACCTGCCGCTGTTGTAACATAGGGAATCACATCTCTTGCACAGCAAAGTTTCACAAATAGCAATAAAATAAATGGCCAGGTCACCTTTTTTTTGGTGATGCTGTTTGAAGGACAAATATTTGGCTGTGACTCAGGACAACACCCTGCACTTCTCTGAATAGTGACACATGATTGGTTATGTCCACCTGAGAGGGCAGACTTAATTTAGTAGGCCAGATTTTGCTGCCGAGACAATGAGGTTAATGATGCTTGACCTTAACAATGTGGAAATAGTCCAGCAACTTGTGATGGAGAACAGCTATTCAGGAATTATTAAATTCCTGTCACAAGTTGCTGGATGACTCACACTGCTCCACCATTATTTTCATCATAATGGCAGCTCACCCTCAACCCTCCATGGGTTTTGTGGAATTCTTCCACTTATGCAATAATTAGCAGTGAGCACTGCTACTTAATGCAGTGTTGGTAGATGTTCAAGAGAAGATGTGCACTTCTGCAATACCAAATCAACATCTCTCGTCTAAAAAAAGGAATTTAAAGCGCACAACTTTGTTCCCCAGTTAAGTAATATTTACACACATTGTTCCCCACAATTCATACAACTAAACATTAATATTTTTCCTGTTTTGCTTTGTCTCTTTTCCTCTTAAGCCAATCTTTCTCCTTTCTATTTCAATTTATGCTCCCAATTTGACTCTAATTCACACAACTCCCTTCTCTACTCGATCCTTAAAATTTCAAGGTAAGGGAGATAGCCTATTAATCCAATCATTCACAAAGGTCCCAGATACCATGTTGCTATTATTAGCTTGGACCTCCAACAACTTGTGCAACAAAACATTTTCAGATGAAGGGCAAAAGAAAAATTCCAACTGACAATGCACACTAGCAAAATCTGGGTCAATCTACTCCAAAGCTGAATATTGATGTCCAATTTGAAAAGATTACAGTAGAGGACTAGTGTGCTGAGAATTTGTTAACACCATTCCCTAACGGTTTCTTCAAAAATGCTGTGATACTTGCTGCCACTTGGAATGGATTAGTACTTCTATCAAACCTTGAAAATGTTTCCATATTTAAATTAACAAGTTGATAGCCAAATAAGAAGAGGGGAATGGCAGAGCTTCTCATGCTTTGGACATCCTAGGTTCTGAAAAATACTAAATGTCAATTGGGAGGACAGCCACAAATTAGTTAGAAAGGAAAAGGCTCCTTTGATCAAAAGAAGAAGAAACATAAATGCTTCCCAAATGGCTTAAGAGTTTACCCAGTCAGTATGAGGCAATCAGACTATGAAGGTCTCCCAGGTTTGATCCCTGTTCTGTCCTCAGTCACAGATAATACTTTGGGAACAATGAACGGCATTTTTAAAAATTCATTCATGGGAATCAGGCATCAATGGCTAGGCCAATGTTTATTACCAATCCCTAGTTGCCCTTGAGAAGGTGGTGGTGAGCTGCCTTCTTGAACTGCTGCAGTCCCTGTGGGATCTATCATTAGATATTGAGAGAGTAGGGAGCAAAGTTGACTATAGGAGTTTCACTTCTTATCTCTGTCCAACTGTCTCAGCTTTGGCTCTGATACCCCCATGGTGGAACAGTCCAGTGGCAGTCAATGTCAACATGCACATGTAAATCTAACCACTCAGGTGAAGTATCTAGGGGATACAGCTAGGGGTCTGCAGCTCCGCGGTATGTGAAGGACCAGCATTTTTATGTCGAGGAGCAGGTGTCGGGAGAAGATATACAAAGAAAAAGAAAAATGAGCATGTGGAATTCCAAAAGTTTGGAGAGAAATAAACACTGGAAATTAAAAAAAAAACAGACCTGACTGAGCATTGGACAAATCTGCCTGTTTTAGAGCTTGTGAGCTTTCTGCAGACGTTCCATTCTTCGTGTGATATTGGTGAAACAACACATTGTAATGGTGCCTGCAAAAAAAGGAATACAGTAAGACCTGTGTTTTTGATAATCCAATCCAAGGCGTGCAAGGAGATTATTGCATTTAATACCAAAGTCTGAACAAAGAGTACAAGACATCGCTTCAGGTTTTAATTAATTAGCCAACTTCAGCACCTAGCTGCTGGTCAAATGAGAGGTTTTACAAAAGCTGTAACCCATTTTCTCTTGTATTTCTCACTGGCAAATTGTTTCCCTGACCTCTGTCAGAGTAAGCTCTGCAGATCAAGCAGACATGCTTAAAGAGAAATACTCATTTCAGATGTACCACAATGGAATAATATCCACTAATTTTATTCTCATTTACGGTAAAAAGAACTGGTATATGGATTACGTAGAGATTAAATTGCAATTGGATCCAGGGAAAATGCACAAATGACTTTATAGGAGAACAGTAACCCTAACAATATAGGAAGCTGTTAAAAATGCACTGGAGCTGATTTTTGACTAACAGTCCAACCATTCATGCAAGTCTGGTCTGAAAGGTCAAGTGTAAACAGCATTTAGTCCTTCAGAGGATAACCAGTTGGCATAATTATTAACAATACCAAGTCCTGACTGAGATAAGTAGAATGGAGGACACTCGAGGTTGGGACAGGAAAATTCATTGGCACTTCCATGCAAAGAGACTGAGATAATTTAAAGGAAGAGGTAGAGAAAGGAGAAAACATTCAGGAAGCCTTTAGAAAGCTTTAATCCAATGCATGTAAGCAAAGTTTTCACCAGTCTAAATACTTCTATCAGGCAGAAGATACAGAAGCTTGAACACACACACGCATGCGCACATGCACACACGCACAACAGTAGGTTCAGGAACAGCTTCTTCACGGCCATTAATAGACTGACGAATAGACTCTCTAATTTCAAACAATGCTGACCTCTTTAATGTTGATCTTGCCTAGGGTACATCCTGTGGGATGTAACCTGTATGCCTCTAAGTCCTTTTTCACCCTATAATCTGTACGTCCTTTCTTACTATGGTCTGCCTGTATTGCTCGTAAACAAAGCTTTTCACTGTACTCAGGTACATGTGACAATAAATCAATCAAATCAAATGCCCTCCTGCTCTTTTTCTCTTCCTGTAATTGTATGATGCCCTCTAGTGGTAATCAGGTTTAAAAATCTCCTCAGTAATCAATTACTGCATTAAAACTTCAGCCAGTTGCGCCATGAATTCGACACTGCCTCAATGGATCTTTCTTTCTGTGAATATTTAGGCAGATATCAAGTCTATACTGTTATGAAATCAAAAATCTCTAACCACATTCCATTAACAATAACAAAACGTCCAAATAGAACTTTCAAACTCCTCCCTGGCATGCAAGAGTCAAGATTTATTTCTTTTAGTAGTCTATGTAAACACACTGTCATATTCTTTGTAAGTTCCTGCATGGCTAGTTTAAAAAAGAGACCTAAATACTTAATCAGTTCACATGTATAAAAATAGGGCAAGTCTTTTCAGAAACTGCAAAATTTAACTTTTATGATCTGAAAGAAACTGTGTATAAGCAAGGGAATTGCACCTATGGATCAGATGTATGAACAGTAGCATCTAATTTATCATGCTACAATTATTTTTACTTATATAATGCTTTTAACAGTAACATCCCAAAGCACTTGAGAAGTGTTAGCAAATATAATTTGATGCCAAGCTACATAAGGAGAGGTTAAGAGAAGTAAAGAATAGCTGTGTCAAGGAGGCACACAGGAGCTGAAGCAGACCATTAGACACTTCAAGGTTGCTCCACCAATCCATAAAATCATGACTGATCCATTTGTGGTCTCATCTCCACTTTCCTATCTGCACCCAATAACTCGCCACTCCCTTACCAATCAATTAGCAATCTAACTCAGTCTTGAATAAACTTAAATTCTGGAGAAGAGAATTCCACATTTTAATTATCCCCAGAGAAAAATCTCCTGCCCTGCCTTAAAACCTCTTAATGCTGGTTTCCCTACAAGAGGGAACATCCTCCAGGTATCAATCCATCACACCTTTCAAGATCTTGTTAGTTTTATTAAGGTCAACACTCATTCTTCTAAACTTCAACGGATATAGGCCTAACCATTCAACTTTTCTTCATGAAGTCTTTCACCACAGAAATGAGTTGAGTAAACCTACTCTGACCTGTTTCTGAAGCAATTATATCTCTGTCAGATAAGGAGACCGAAAGTATACGGCATGGTAATGCTGTAGTAAAACTTCCCTACCTTTATATTCTCTTTCTTCTTGTTATAAACAGGAACATTCCATTTGCCTTCCTAATCACTTGCTGTAGCTGCATTGTAACCTTCTGATGATTCATGTACGTAGACATCCAGATCCTTTTCCCACTGAATCCTGCAATCACTCTTAATTTAAATGTATGCTGTTTTTTCCATTCTTGCTGCCAAAGTGGACAAATTCACATTTGTCATATTGTACTCAGTCAGTTATTTTTCTGCCCACTCACTCACCTGTCTAAATTCCTTTGCATACTCTCTACCTCCGCTTGACAATTTATTTCCCTGTTTATCTTGGTGTCGATCGGAAATTTAGCTACGTACCCATACATTTGGTCCCGTCACCTAAAATGTTGATATAGATAGTAAATAGTGGAGATGCAGCACTGATCTCTGTGCAACTCCATTACTAACAGCTTGCCACTGAAAGTTATCCATTTATCCCTGTTCTCTGCTTTGTTTTCTAACTAATCCTTTACTCATGCTAAAATGCTATCCCTCAAACCATATGCTCTTTATCCTATCCAGCAACGTTTGAAATGGCAGTTCTTCAAATGCTTTTTGGAAATCCAAGTGGACTACATCTATTGATTTCCCTCTATCCACCATGATGTTACTTTATCTAACACTATTTAGTGCCTGATCACATTGTGATTTTCTAAATATCTTACTATAACTTTCTAATAATGGATTCTTCCCAATGACAAATGTTTGACTAAACGGCTATTAGTTTCCTGTTTTCTGCCTTCCTCTTTTTTTGAATGAAAGGTGCTACATTTCCTTCTACCCAAACCACTGGGATTCTTCTAGAAGCTAAGGAATTTTGGAAGATCATAACTGATGTATCTACTACTTGTACCACCACTTCTTTGAAGATCGGAAGAGACAGGCCATCCAGTTATGTGGATTTGTAAGCCTTCTGTTCCAATAGTTTACCAAGCACCTCTCTCTAGTGTTGGTGATTGTTTTAAGTTCATCCCTCCCTGTGAACTCTTGATTTTTAAAAATGATTTTAAGGAGGATCTTAAAGGAAGAACAAAGAGGTAAAGAGTGAGAGAGATGGAGAGGTTTAGGGTGGGAATTCCAAAGCTCGTGGTCAACACAGCTAAAACAGTACAGCTACCACTGGTAGAGATGGCAGAGTGATTGAAATCTGCCAGGTGAATTATCAAATAAAATCTAACAATATTCAGCACAATCAGGTTTCTGATTATAAAATCATTAAAACAATCGCATTTTAGCTAATTCACAGTTTCGATGTTATTTATTTCCTCAAAGTGCTTTGAGTCAGTCTCTCATGAAAACATTCTGGTTTGCAGAAAGTGCTACCAGTGGAACAAAGCCACTTTTTGATTCAGACCTTCGGTCAACTGTGAAGTGAACTGCATTTCCTTCTGGCTCAAATAGATTTCCTGGAGAGAAACTAGTCTCCTCACTGCAGTACTGGAGCAAAGCATCCGATGGATATCTCAATGCTGCACAAGATTGATTATTTACACCCTCAGTCACAATGCTCCTGTCACTACTTGTTTAAATTGTTCTGTGTGTCAAGGAGACTGCAAAAAGCCTGCCCAGGAGCTTTCCTGCTTAGCACTAATTCAGCAATGCTTTGAACCCCTGAACCAAATAAAAAATTTAATTTGGATTTGGATCAGAAATTGGTTCTGCAGGCCCAGCGTGCCCATTCAAATGACAAAAGCAGCTTCTAAAGTATAATCGCTGGACACGTGCATTGCATTTATCAGCTTGCTCAAAGGGCAGGATTCCAATCTAAAGGCTGAACTGGTATCAGCATTTGGAAAAATGAGTTTACTAAACTTATCAGTACATTACCTAATAGCCAGAAAGTCGACAAGCAAAGCGTCAAACATTTTGATAGTATGGGGGCTGCAGTGTTGAATTTTAGCTCCAAACTGTACACCATTCTTATCCTGCATGCAGTATGTGATTCATGGTATCTGCAATTGTATCACAACAGTCAACATACATATGATAGCAGCAGTCAATGCTGGAAATGATCATTTACTGCGGAAGAATTGCTCTGTACTGATAATAGTCAAGTCTAATTTTTAAAGCAATGCTGCAAAGACCAGAGCTCTGTTCCATCTCAGTACATAGAGTTTTAAAACAGAGTTGAGAGAATTTATTACGACAATCATGCTCACTACTGTTCATCCTGAAAATTCTTAAATGTAATTAATTTTGCCCCTTTCAAAAAAAAACTCTGAAGTATCAGTCACAGCTTGAAGTGCCCTTGAAGAACTGTGTCATTGCAATGAATCATGGAGTGCAGAAGTCTTTTTATCACTGGTTTAAGTGATGAGTTACTCATGGCATCTTCTGTGTTGAGAGAAGGGAAGGGCCTGCATTTGTGTATCACCTTTGACAACCTTTGGACATCCAATTGACAATCAGTAGCTAACTCCTCAGAAACAGTCTTCTGAAGTTTGACGTTGCCTCACAGGAAAGAACACGAAAGCTGAAGACAAATAGTGCAAAGATTTTTATCGTGCATCTTCTGACATGTGGTTACAGACTGTGATCTAGGATCCCCAGGGTTGAAATGGGGAACAAGGATGGGATTGCAAATATAAATCATAACATTTTCCTTCCACAACACACTCGTGGAAATTGGTAGTGCTTATTACATCCCCAAGAGTAGAAGTGGCCCTCAAATATCTTGCCCAAGTGGTTGTCTCCATGTCTCTCAGTCTAAACTATTAAAATTTGTAGGCCGTTCAATCATGCAGAGCATCCAGCCAAGCATGGTGATGTTCTCTCCTCATTCTCATATATACACTTCCTTAAAATTCATTTGTGGGATGTGGGCATCAATGGCAGACCAGCATTTACTGCCCGTCCCTAGTCACCCTTGAGAAGGTGGTAGTGAGCTGCCCTCTTGAACTGCTGCAGTCTGCCTGCTGTGGGTTGACCCACAATGCCATTAGGGAGGAAATTCCAGGATTTTGACCCAGTGACTGTGAAGGAACAGTGATATATTTCCAAGTCAGGATGGTGAGTGGCTTGGAGGGGAACTTGAAGGTGGTGTTGCCCCCACATATCTGCTGCCCTTGTCCTTTTGGATAGAAGTGGCCATGGGTTTGGAAGGTGCTGTCTGAGAACCTTTGGTGAATTTCTGCAGTGTAGCTTGTAGGTAGTACAGACTGCTGCAACTGAGTGTTGGTCGTGGAGGGAGTGCATACTTGTGGACGTGGTGCCAATCATGCGGGTTGCTTTGACCTGGATGGTATCAAGCTTCTTGAGTGTTGTTGGAACTGCACCCATTCAGGCAAGTAGGGAGTATTCCATCACAATCCTGATTTGAGCATTGTACATAATGCACAGGCTTTTGGGAGGCAGGAGGTGAGTTACTTGCCGCAGTATTCCTAGCCTTTAACCTGTTCTTGTAGCCAGTGCATTTGTGGTGAGCTCAATTGAGTTTCTGGTCAATGGCAACACCTAGGATGTTGATAGTAGGGGATTCGGTGATGATAACACCATTGAATGTCAAGGGGCGGTGGTTAGATTGTCTCTTATTGGTGATGGTCATAGCCTGGCATTTGTGTGGTGCGAATGACAACTTGCCACTTGTCAGTCCAAGTCTGAATATTGTCCAGATCTTGTTGCATTTGAACATGAATTGCCTCAGTATTTGAGGAGTCATGAATGGTGCTGCGCTATCATTGGCCCACTTCTGACCTTATGATGGAGTGAAGGTCATTGATGAAGCAGTTGAAGATAGTTGGGCCTCGGACACTACTCTGAGGATCTCCTGCAGACATGTCCTGGAGCTGAGATGACTGACCTCCAACAGCCACAACCTATGCGCCAGGTATGACCCCAATCAGCAGAGAGTTTGCCCCTGATACCCATCGATTCCAGTTTTGTTTGGGCTCCTTTATGCCACACATGGTCAATTGCAGGCTTCCATTTAAGGGCTGTCATTCTCACCTCACCTTATTTTCAGTAAGAGTTACACCATTACAGTCATCAGAGCTTAATTATGCTTCAGTAGTGCAAAGATGCTCTGCCAACTATTGTGTAGTGGCAGTAGCCTAGTGGTTAATCCAGAACCCAGGCCAATGTTCTGGGGACATGGGTTTGAATCCCACCCTTGCAGATGGTGAAATATAAATTTAATAAAATCTGGAATAAGGAGTTGATCTCATAGTATACATGTGCCTACAGTCAATTGTCCCAAAAACCCATCTGGTTCACTCATGTCCTTTAGGAAGTCTGCCTGGTCTGGCCTAAATGTAACTCCAGACCCACAGCAATGTGGTTGACTCTTAATTACTCTTGGGCAGTTAGAAATGGGAATTCAATATTGCCAGGCAGCTATGGCCACATCCTGTGAATGAAGAGAAAGTAACCTGGAAGAGAGAAACGCTCAAATTCAATATTCTGAGGTTTATACTTCCAAATCATCAATATTATCCTCTTCCTGGTATCTGGTTGAGAGTGAACCAGGTTGTTTCCAAAGTTGGTAATTTCCGTACCATTGTCCGAATCCCCATACCCACCACTACCTCTGCTCATGTGCTACCGAAACCCTCATCTACGATTATTAACTCTATATTTGACTATTCCATGCTCTCTGCCTGGTCTCCCATCCTTCATAAACTTGCACTCATTCAAAGCACACCTACAAGTGAAGAAGTGCATGTCAGTCAGCTTGAAATGCTTTGCTTCTCCCTACAGATGCCAGCCAACCTGATAAGACTTTCCAGCAGTTGTTACATCAAGAGCAATGAATATAAAAAAGTAAGCAAATTTGAATTTGTGTCAGATGTTTAACAAACCACAAGTGGGAGCATAGTTTGCAGTTCTGGTGTTCTATTACAGGAAAAATATTGGAGCAATGAAAAGATTTGTGAAGATTATACAATGACAGGAGATTATGCAGGAAGCCTCAATATTAAAGCTTCTTCAGTGGTACGTGGGAGGTTGAAGATGAAATCTAAGAGAGATTTGCAATATTGGAAAAGCTTAACGAGAGGATAAATAGTGATGATTGCTTCCACTACCTTGGGAATAAGCAATAACAGGAACAAACTCAAAATACTTAAAAGAACAAAAGGGCTAGTTAGAACATTGTTTTCACTGAAAGTTTTATTAGAATATGGCAGCTGGAATTAGGCTAGAGATGCTTTACACAACTATCACAGACATGATGGGCTAAATGCCCTCCCCTTCTGCACTGTACATCATTTCATGCCTCATTGAAAACCATTCCATAGGAAAATGCTTGGACAATATGTAATGTACGTGGGTGAGTATTGAAAAGAAATAGAAAAATATCAGAAAAAATAATTTGCAGTAGATAGCTTGGTACATCAAACAGCAATTACTAACAAAGCTATTGGAAAACCAGGTAATGTTTCAGATCCAATTACCCTTCTTCAGAACGTAACAGAAGGCATGAAAAAATTAAAATTGTTGATGCTGAAGAAGGTAGAATTAGTGCATTGCTGGTATTTTAAAGAGTTGTTAGCCTGGAGGAAATTACTTAGGTATAAAGGTATAGGTAGAGACAGAAAGAGCAAACATGGCAAATTGCTACTCAGATATCGCTGGTGGCTTCTGCTCCTTCTCATATCTTCAGAATTAAGAATCAATATTGTGCTGATATCTCCAAAACAAATTTCAATCTGTTTTTTGTGTTCTTTTTCTTCCTCATCGCAATTAAAGTATGTTGCAATTTATAATACACAAAGTCATCTTGGGCAGCCAAACATAGCCTGGAAAGTGAAATGACTAATTATTCTGCAGTTATTAACAAATTCAATTAAAGTGTTTGTGTTTGGGAAACACAGCTGCCACGCTCAGAGATCTCTGTGATCCATCATTTCACTAATCTATTTTGCTGTAGATTAATGAGTAACTCAACTTCTAAAATGAAAGCACACCGCAGATCCCAAACTGGCTTTAAGGTAGGAAAAGCTTTTTGCTTGTATCAGAGAAATGCAGAGAGTTTTACCTCAGTACCATTACAGTCTCCACCCATTGTTCTTGCTGACTCTCCCATGGGTCCTGAGTAATCCAGTCTGACGTCTCCAGAGCACGCTGAACCATTGCAACACGGTGCTTTGCTGCCACCAATCCTTTTTTGCCATATTTGTCATTAACTGGGGAAATGATGCCCTTGATAACTTTATACAGTCCTGTAAAAACAAACTGTAGAATTTCAGCTCCAATGTGAATCCATCCCCAACATTCAGCACCAACTGACTTTCAGTTGAATAATTGTGTGAATATACTATATGATGAGATAGGTTTTCAGATTTATTATCTCTATCCATTACTGACACTGTGAGAATGAGGAAACATGTTTACTTTCCAAAAACGTAGTGCATTTGAAGAACGCAATGTTCTCTTTAAAACTGAATGATTCTGTTTGGTGTGGAGCTGGATGAACACAGCAGGCCA